CTGACTAACTCTTTCCCTCACTAACTCTTTCTTTGACTGACTCTTTCCCTCACTAACTCTTTCTTTGACTAACTCTTTCCCTCACTAACTCTTTCTTTGACTAACTCTTTCCCTGGCTAACTGTTTCTTTGACTACTCTTTCTTTGACTAACTCTTTCCCTGACGAACTCTTTCTTTGCTAACTCTTCCTGTGACTAACTCTTTCCCTCACTAACTCTTTCTTTGACTAACTCTTTCCCTGACTAACTGTTTCTTTGCTAACTCTTTCTTTGACTAACTCTTTCCCTCACTAACTCTTTCTTTGACTAACTCTTTCCCTGACTAACTGTTTCTTTGCTAACTCTTTCTTTGACTAACTCTTTCTTTGACTAACTCTTTCCCTCACTAACTCTTTCTTTGACTAACTCTTTCCCTGACATTCTAAAAGTCCGCAACACGGACGTTTCTCCCCCTAAACTTCCTTTGATAATATATATATTTATATATATAATGCTGGTTGTCTCAAGCCAAAGGAGATGGGCCACCTTTTTGAAAAGCAAATATGCGTGAGAATCTATGGGGGAAATTCAACTATCATGGAGGTTGAGAATCTGGGATCGAAATAGGGCACCCAATCCAGAGACGTCACCCCCATCTCGGTGGACTGAGGTGCTTGTTGAACTTGAAAGAACGCCCATCTTCCGCAGGCGGCGCCACCTGGAGTGGCCACAGGAGCTGCAGACCTTTAAGCAACCAGGCCGACTGGCCTTGATAAGCAAGACACGGCTTGCCACAAAAAATGTCTGATGGAAATCATGAAAACTACGGCAACTACATTAAAATATACGGATTTCTAAATATACGAACAGGTATTTTAGACTACCTCCGGGAAGGTTTTCCTTGGCCCGCCCAGCCATTTAAACATACGGAATCCGATTCATTTAAACATACTGCAACTACATTTAAATATACGAACTGGTATTTCATACTACCTCTGGTGCCGCGCGGTCTGGCCCGCCCTTCAAATATTTTTAAGTGTCGTTACCGTATAGGAAAAGAATCGAAACTCTCCAACGTATATGCTTTTTGCCTGCAAACAATGTGGTCACAAAGCGTTCTGTAGGCGTCAAGATCCAACACTCACATTCTTCCAGTCAAGGTAGATATTCGTGATGCGGCCTCCCATGAACTAACCTTGTTAACGTTTTTCATGGCAGTTTCTGTGGGCCAGGTAATGGTTCAATGCATAAGCGATCTTCAAATGAGCAATTAATGTTCAAAACCCTTTTTCGAACCTTTTTTCGAACCAGAGTCAACGCCTCGGCACAGGCAGAAACGTCGTTGCACTACATGTTAATACTACTTGAACCACCGGTGAAGACCGCCCTGTTGTTTCGGCTGGCCAGCCGCTGCCTCGACCACCACTGCAGAGCGAAGATCTCCGAGATCTCTCTGAACCTTAAAAACTGGTGGTTGCCAGCTTCCCCAGAAATCCAGTCATAGATTTGTTGTTGATCATCAGGATGCCACCTGGCAGGTGTGTCAAAAAGCCAGCAAACGACCTACAAGCTTTGATGTCATCATATTCAGTTCAACTCTGCCTGAGCCAACCTGCCATTTGCTATGACAGTCTACCTTGCGAAGCTCGCTGATTCCTGTGAATCTCTGAAAACTCCACCCAAGTGGCCGGAACTATGTCTGGTGGTGCCTGGACATGTTGTAACCCATCAATGACCTTGTGAAGCCCTGGAAACTGCATCTGCGCGGGAGCTTCATGGGCTCTCCGCCCTACTTGAGCCACAGAAATTTCCATGTCAGGGATGACTGGCTCATGCCCCACTGTTGCGACCCGTGACGGATCTTCATTCTCCATCCACTGGACAGCAAACAGACCTACTTTGGCGTAGAAAGCCAAAAGCTCCTGTTGAATCCTGCACGTGCGACTGAGATGACTGGCCGCTTGCAACTGTGCCTGCTGCACATGAAAGGGCAGCTGAGACAGAGACAATGAAGCATGAAAATCCGCAGCTTGGTTGCCCTGAAACACCCATGATAAAAAAAAAATCTCTGCCTGATGCGATGCGACTTTGAAAATTGAAATCGGCTTTGTGCGGATCTCAACAAAAATTCATGAAGAGGGCCCCGCAGCTCATGGTCAGCGAGGGTGTTCTGTTGAAAAAACCTACCTGCCTGCATGTATAGCATGCGTCGTACCATGGTTGCATTATCACACCAGATTCTGGCAGGTTGGTCTGCCTGGATACTGTATTGCGGTGGTATGATGACCGCTGTCAATTCAGCCCTGAGAATGGTCTGCCATTGACCTGGCACACCTCCACCTGCAACATATTATATATGCAAAACTGGGACGCTGGGTGTTACCTCTGGCTACCATTAATTCCCATGCATCAAGTCTCGCTTGTGGCAGTTGCGGATTCATGCGACATCCATCAGTGAAGAAATCCAATGTACCCTGTGGAAAGGGGAAATGAACTAGCCAGCTAGCGGAACATCTGCTAACAGTTTTTTGAAATTGCGCACGCAAGGGTGCTCTACAATCCACCATCTTTCCCTGGTGCCGTGTGCTCAGATTCACAGTGTCTGTGCGTGAGGGAATCTGATTGACCACAAAATGTGCATCTATCATTGTCGACCTGTTTAGCAGCCAAGAGATGATCAAGAGTCATGAAGGTGCCATTGTGAACTGCCCTGATGGACCTGCTTCATCAGTAGACCAGGTCTGGCACTGGAAAAAACATCGACTGTGTCCAAGTGTCCAACCCTTGGATCGTTGCCTCAGTTCTTGTGTAGGACAGTTCATGATGTCTATCTGGATACCTTCTTGATCCACAAACATGAAGCCATGCAAATGGGCCCAACCAATGTCAGAAAGTCTGGCACACAAGACCCCACTCGGTCCTGGTTTCTTCTGTCTATCTCGCACCCAAGCTGCTAGATCCATGGTACCTGCCTCAGTGTCGAGACTTGCAAATCGGCGAAACTGGACCAAAGCATCCCAAAGCAGCTGTATGGCAAAGTGACGTGCTTCCGTGGACCGGTACTGGAAGATGACCCGTGTTCAATTTTGCAGCACAAAATGAAGGATTCCAAACACATTCTCCAAGTGGTAGAGGTTCGTGCAGGGTTGGGAGAAATCGGAAAGGGAGCAGAAGCAGCCGGCTGGGAGGTCAAAGCTCAAAATGTGCTGATGGAATCTTTCTGCTCCCATCAGGGCAAGTTTTCGACCATTCCAGTTACCGAAGGCAGCATTTGCAATATGGGCACTGTTGCTGCCATCCATCGTGCAGCACCATCATCGGGTAGCCTGGCCATGGGAGTCTCCTGTCAGCCATTCTCACGCGCAGGTGATCGCCAAAGAGGCATGGATGGGAGAGCACCGTATGGATTACTTCAAAAAGAAATCACGGTGCTGGAATGTGTAGCACTAGCGGCTTCATCCCCCTTTGTTCAAAGGTGTTCGCAGTCTCACTCACTCACTCACTCACTCACTCACTCACTCACTCGCAGCGGACAGATCCATCAATCCAAGCTGAGCAGAGGGCCTCTTCAGACCCCGGCGATACTAAGCACAAGACTGGCTGGCACGGTTCACGCCAGCACGGGAGTTCAGAAAGAAAAGTGAGCCCACCCATTTTGCGGTATCTCATCAAAATCAACAGGCTACGGCTTCACTCCCTTTCCTCTCACTGGCCTCAAAGCTACTGATCCTGGAGTTGTCTTTCGAGTCCTCCACGTGGTGCTTGCCCTGACTTCCTCTTTCCGCCAGTGGCCAACAAGGCTTTGTCAAGAGAGTCAAGTACGGGTTCCAAGCTTGCATGAGTGGCAAGGTGAAGTTTCATGGTCTTCTTGTCCCACGCCTTCTTGAAGCGAGCCACATGCACATGGAAAGCCACCTCTGCAGCAGTCGAGCCGGCTTTTGTGATTGTCTCAAAATGCTGCTGCAACACTGTCTTGTCATCCTCTTTGGCAACATAGTCAACAGCAACTTTCACAAATTTCTGCCCAAACGTGGACATGCACCGGCCCCATCTCTTCAATCTTTCGCGAGTTCCCTTCTGCTGCCTTGGCTTTCTCCATGTGGGCTTTTGCTGCGTCAAGACCAGCTGTGGCAAACACTTCATCTCGAGGAACCAAATATGTCCTCAACACGGCTGCCTGCATTTCTCTAATTTCCAAACTGTTCTTCAGACATAGCTTGGCCATGACTTCCATCATTTTGGCAGCCTCCGTCTTCTCCTCTGCGCGCCGAGCTTTGTAGGCCGGCTGCCCATCATGCACGGTGCTGAACCAAGCCATGCTTGTAACTAAACTTTAATGAAAATGTGAAACAATGCAGTCAAATAAAGATTCACGTGAAGCAACGTCATTGGTGCAAAAAGGACATTGTAGCAAAGGAGGTTCGATGACAGCAGTGGTATAAAGGCACTGCCGCTGCCCCTACACAAGCCATGTTGAAGACGGCGCCTAATGTGTTGCTGAGTGACTCGGATACTTGCAAAAATGTTCTTGCACCATGGACACTGGTTGCAAATTGCACGGACATGGTCATGATTTTTTCCATGGGTTCCTCCGTCCGCTCGTCGAACGTGCATAGCAAGGGCTCGAAAACTGGAAAAACTGGCGGTGCAAACGCTTCCATCATCATTAGTACAATGACATATAAACTGGTGTGGTAAATCTGAACTTGCACTAGGTCACTAGGTGCTGCTTCCACTTCTCCCAGTAAAGCTTCGCAGAAACCAGGAGGCGGTATGCAGACTCCAAAAAATTGAGCTCGGAGTTCACCACAATCCACGCGCACGAAATCATCTCGAAAATCCGTGAATAAAAGAAAAATTCTGTTTCCAATGCCGGCCAATCTTTCAGCTGCAGAATCCAGGGAAAGAAGCAACTGTAAGTCAGTCTCCAATTGTTTTGCCCACGCGTTCGCATCCATATGCAGTGACCCATCCGGCAGCACTGTTGCAGATTCATCGTACCAGAGTTGTCCAAAAACAGTTGCAAGCACTTGTCGGTGCAGAAAAGGATCTCGCGCCACACTTTGCCAACACTGTAGTCGCCGCACGCAAAGCTCCAGCTTGGCCGGTACGAATGACAAAAGTTTGCCAACATCACTGTCAGGGATGGCGTGGTATTGTGTGCTTCCATCCTCACCCACAACTTTTTTGCAGGCGGCTCCTCGTAAAACTTTTCTGGCGAATCTAAATATTGTTGCATCCACTTGTTGATATTCAGCATCTGAAAGTACCAAATTCTCAAGACCCGACAAGGCAGCATTGCGAACCATAGCAGAGAAAACAATTTTTGCAGCTGAAGTGGCACTCTGTCTTGCCCAAAACTTTCCCATAGCCATGAAATCAATTTCGGCAGCCCGTCGGCGGGCACGTATTTCCATGTCATTAGAATCTTTAAAATGTCTCCACCCTCCAAGATACTTGGCACTGACGCAAGATTTGCCAGGAAGCATGCCCTCTTTGTAAATATGCGCCAAGTAGCTATTTGCTCCAGCACCAGAGAAATAAACAATATGCTCTTGTTTGTCAGTGTTCTGCTTGAGCCCAATTTCACCCAGTGCAGTATCCAAAACGTCATTGGAATGAGTAATGTGCAAAAACAGTTCCTCGCTGGATTCGGCCACAGTGCATCGGGCAACATCATCCGCATAGCTCGAGACGGAGATATCCAAGAGTTCATGCGATATGGGATCTTGAACCAGAAGTTCATGTTGTTTGGTTTCTTGCAGCCACTTATCCAGTTGGGGGTGGTACACCTCCAAAAATAAAGCACACGCAACAGAATCCCCTTGCAGGCTCCCAGAATTCGGCTGTACACATACATCCCCATCTCTAGCAGTAATGTGCATAAAGGTGCTCTCATGTCTCTGTTGCAATAGTTTATTGTCGATGCTGCAAGCCACTCGATCCACCGTGCTCCGCATAGCCCCTCGATGAGGGCTGGGAAAAGCATTGGCGACGTCCAGGAGAGAAAGAGCATGGGAAACACCTTGTTTGCGCAACCTGTGTTAGAGAACGTTCTGTTGTAGCATGGATTCGGTTCTAGACTTGCCTCGCGTGTACCCAGAAGCGTAGTATCGCGAAGCAGCAGCACTTCCCCTTTTCTACAATCAGAATACCACTTTCCCAAAACTTCCAAGTTGTTGATGAGGCGCAAGCCAGCAGGCCCAGATTTGCCATTACGTTTGTCCAAAGCTGTTGTGTAGCTTCGCTGCCACGTGTGAGGGGTTCTGTTGTAAAATCGTATGGACATAAGCAGGTGAAATATGCGGTAAAACAATGCTGGTTGCCGAATTTGCCTTGGAAAGCCAACACCACTTGGAGCCATATCCATCTGCCACTGTGGCAAAAAGAGTTGCCTCCAAACTTCGGCTGGAACACCGGTGGACAAGTCTTCCGAAGGGTGCTTCCCCTGGCACACCTACGCAATGCCCGCAAATAAGATTTTGCAAGCTCGCGTGCTGTTGTGCAATCCATGACCGGCACAGAAGCCTCATCTTCCACCACCTCAAAGCTGTCCACATCGAGCTCAACTGCCGAGCACCCACCTGCTGGCCCACTCTGCTGTAGAAAGGCAACCCATTCAGCTTTTTCTGGCCAGGCAGACTTGGCAGCGTCGTATCTTCGTCTTTTTGGCCCAATGGGTTTCCCAGAAAGTTGTCTGGCTGTCTTCCAGACTTGGTGCAAATCTCTCTGGCCCCACGCAAACTGAAATTCGTGGAGTTTCTGCTCTTGTCTGGCTTTTGCGTCCCTTTTTGTGCAGTCATCCATCTTCGCCCGTGCCTGTCGATATTCACATCCCTTGCGCCATACCAACAAAATATCTTGCAAAGCCTGTTTGAAGTAAATGGTGAGCCACAATCAAATCTGAACCTGCCGTTCCCCAACATCTTCGGCCGAAAGGAAACCAGCTGTGCTCTTTTTTGCAGCATCGTCTCAATTGCGTCTTGCGTGTCCAGCGGCCTGTCAGAGTGTTTGCGCTGTTTGGGAGGATAGATCTCTTTCAGTGGCCGCCTGTAGGGCAGTTGCGACTTTCGTCCATAGGATGTCAGGGTTGCAAGGTTTGTCTGCGAGTATTGTACTTGTACCAACATGCGTCTCCAGCTGCCGATCCACTGCATTGAACAATGCCTCTCGCCGCTTGCCCACCAGCGCATCCAAAACAAGGTGGCTCTGCATCCCAAGTCTTGCGCGTGTTGGCAGCCACGCCGGCAAATTCGAGTTGCAAATCAATTTCAATCTGTAGTGGCACATGGTCTCTTCTGGCACAATCACAAATAAGCTGCAAACTGTCTGCAGCCATATACTGCACATGGCAACGCGAAACCTTTTGCAAGCAGCTTTCTGGAACACAAATGTAATCAATTCTTGTGACATGTCGCCTAGGAGGTGGTCCATAATAGGTTGCGCCAACGTCAAAGGAAGGTGTTTGTAGCTGCCATATACTGATTTTCCAGCAGGGAAAGTAGCATCCCCCCATTGTAATTTTGAGGTTCGGGGAAGAAAGGCCCAATTGCAGTTGATTGAACAACTCTCCATTCTTGGCCAGGCCCCTGTCTAAAGCCAACATGTGCATTGGCGTCCAAACATAGCAAGGGAACACACCGGTGTGGAAGTTTTGAAATGAAATTTTCCACATACCTCCAAAGGCGGAGATTCCGCTCTTGTTGTGTCTGCTTTTGCGGTTCAGTGTGCATGTAGACAGTAATGGCGCACACATCCAAATCGCCCCTTCGCAGTCGCACGGCTCCAAACCGGCCTTGCAGTGCTTGAGGGGGGGAATACACTCTGGAAACGTTTTTTCGTTGAAAAACCCTGCTCCGCAGAATGATGGACACACCACCAGATGTATTTTGTCGTCCCCGGGGGGGCTCCCCAGTTGAACCAAATATAATATGTTGTTTGTAATGCTGTTCAGAACATGTTTCCCCTGTGTCTCTGATATTTGTGCCTGCAAGCAAATGATGTGAGTGTTCTCCCAAGTTCTCGCAAAATGCTCTCTCGTCGTATGGGATCCACTGCAGAAAGAGGATTATAAGAAGAAACCAAAAGCCTCGGCATATCTGGCCAGCTCTTGCGCCCAGTGTAGTGTGATGGCCCTCTGCGTCCATTGGTCAAGGCATCCTACTTGCCCCTGAAAGTGGACTTGACAAAAAGGGGCTGTTCGCAGTCTCACATGAAAACGATCCCGTTTCAGGAAGCCATTTAAATCATTTACAGTAATAAATGTTGTCACCAGAGCAGATTCCGTTGGATTCACATGTTTCCAGCACCGCTGAAGATGCGTCAGACTGCGAACCAGGTGCGGCCAGTCATGCCGAGCAGAACAACATTGAGCAACTGGCTGACCCAGAGCCTCGAGTAATGACATCCGAAAGTACATCTCACGGGCCAAAGGAACGGTTCAGTTCTCCACCTGAAACATTTGAGGTGGGGTTGCCAAGACTTGCATGTGCATCCAAGGCAGGGATGCCGACAGCAATCGAGGCAGGCATTGCATCCGTGAAAGCATTCATGATGCATCCGAGGCAGGGCCACATGATCATGATGTCTCCAATGTAGTGGTTGCCCCATGTCCAAGCCGGAAGATTCCCAACATCTTCACGTTCCCTCCCCTGTTGATGTGAGGCGTGGTGCAGAGCATCTTTCAGAATCAACACGTACAGGTACGATCAGCACCCAAAGACCTAATGCATGCGAAGAGCCAGCAGATCCCCATGTCCCACCCACCCGCTTTCATGCCACGCCCTTCCATCCCAAGTGAACACAGAAGTAGCAGCATTGCCAAAGACTTTATGGTGCAGCCTACACACTGGAGTTAGATGCAGGATTGAGCAATTGCTTCTCGGCACACAGAACTGCAAAAAGGTAATGCTTACTTGCAAGCCGATCAGGCCGTTGACATGCACACAGGAGCACCGCTACAGTAATTATCTGCATTAATGGAAGCCTGTAGATGAAAAGTCTGCCCCGAAATCACGCTCTTACATACCAGCCCTGCTTGACCATCAACATCTGTCATTTGGATTCGAGCAGTGTTTGTTCGTCCGTTGCGTGCTGATACCTTAACAGATTCTCTTCATAAACAGGCAGCCCCTTGTTCGGTCCGCGTGAATGAACCTTGACAGAAAACTCCATGGCACCAATTGCAAATGCTACTAGTCCAGGCGTTTTTTTGCGTCAGCCATGCCTGTCTGGAAGGCCTCGTTTTTTTACCGGCTGGGCAAACGCACAGCCTTGTTGATGTGATTCCAAAAATGAACTACGACACTCCCGAATATATAATTGACAGTATAACCCCCAAACTAAACATCAATCAACAAGGTTGTAAACCCTGCTCAAACCAGTTTTCGTTTTCTTCATGGTGAGCACCTCGCCTGTGACAAAATCCTGGTGTACAGATCTTGCATGCAAAATCGTCAGAAGATCATGTGCCAAATCTGCAGAACATACAAAACCCTTCTTCCTTCCTCACTTACAAAACTGCCTAACTTTTCTGTCTCTTCAAGGTGAATGCGACTTTCACTATTTGGGTTCTGCTTCGGGGGTCTAAGACGGTGTGGCTCTTAAAGATGGCCCCAAAGCAGAACCTGATGTTTTTTGTTTTCCTACTTTTCCTAATTGGCCGGGCAGAAGCCCCATTGTCAGAACAATTTGCCAGGCTTTCAATGTCAATGTGATCCCTTCATAAGCTGCAATTGGGCCTCTGTAGCCAGGAGCGTAATGCACGTGGTGATCTTTTGCGTGTCAAACACGGACAGAGCTTTGAGCCTTGGTCCCCGGGCTTTGGAGTTCCAGAGAGTGAGCAGCCCGACGGGTCAACTTGGTTGACAAAAATACAACCAAACTGCCTAGTAATTACATGCAATTACCCCATATGATTTCCAGTTTATGGATGTAACCAGCATTTTTCACTCTGAGATTGACGACCAAAACTCTTTTCTCCGGTACGAAAGTCCTCCCTCGTCTCTCACAATATTTAGCGACTTCTGCAAGCAAAGGTCTGTGTTGACAAGTCCGCAGCGTTTGCTTTCTCCAACTCAACTGCCAAATCCTGCAGTTCGTGGAGCTGGGCTAGCTACAAAATGCGTTTCTGATGAAAACGTCTCGGATAGGGCAGACTACTGCTTCGGAAATTGTGGTGTGAAAACATGTTTTGGAAATTATGCTTTGGCAACCATGTTTCGGATAGCTTCATTAACCAAGCATGGGAAACCATGCTGGACCCGCCCTGTTTGAAGTACATAAACTCAATAAATATGACATTCACTAAGTGGACGTTTCAGCAAGGGGTGAGTTCCCAAAAGGATGGTTTAAATTGGTTTATAACATTGACCATTGAATTGCAGGGCAAGGGAAGGGGCCCGGGGCGAACTTTAAAAATGACTTGGGATGCCAAGCCGTTTTCTTCTAGGGCAGAAAAGGAGAAAAATTAGGTAACAGCACTGTTTTCGGCCACGTGGCATGTTCAGCAACATAGAAAAGATGGAAATTTGCACCCATTCAAAATATTGTTTTTTTTGCAGTTTGGTGGTTGGCAAATCAGCAATACTTTAATGGGAGTTTTTGTCAATTACCATACAGTAGGATTTACATAATGCAGGTAGTTGCGACAACTCCGGCTCGCTTTTTTGCGTCCTCCACAGTGATCGTACACGGCACGATCCCACCGTACCGCGAGCTTTTTCACTCTCTGTAGCGTGACATCAAGTGATAGCATATCTGTGGCGTAGCATCAAGCCCATATGCAACTCAACACCAACGTTTTTGCCCCATCCCCACACCCCCACCCTACCCCATATAGAAACTTCACTATGGTCTTGATATATATATATATAATTTGTTTATTTATTTACTTATTTACTTATTTTTTTTATTTATGTATATTTATTTATTTATATATATATATATATATATTTATTTATTTATTTATATTTATATTTAAATTTATATACACACACATTCGTGTATATATATATATATAAGTATATATATATATACATAAAATATGCACGCATATCTCGGAAAAATAGTCTGTTACATACAAGGTCAGAAAACATGCGCTTTCAGCGAGGGCACTGATGGCGCCGATAGAAAAAGAATTAGAACAAGGACTGTAGGCCAGCGCGGTGCAAATTTTAACCGTGACATGGAATGCTAACGATTGTGTTGTAGGGCAAAGGAGGTGACAACCTTAAGTGACAATGCTGACCATCCTATTGCAGACAGATGCGGCTGTGAATGGTAACAATAGCTTGGATTAATGAAAAGCGCAGCGTAAGGCAGACGGGTGTGACTAAAAACAATGACCACAGTATTGTAAGGCAGGGGTGTGGACATCTCAACATGGCATTGTACGTCATGAGAGGGGGAATTTCAACAATGACCTGTTCCTGTTAGAACGCTGACCATTGTATTGTACGGCAGGGGCCCAGGGGCGTTCATTTCAACCATGGCTTCGAATGTTGACAATTGCATACAATTGCAGGGCAGGACCGGGGGGGTGAAATCTAACATTTACTTATAGAATCGAATGCTGACCATTGCATTGTAGGGCAGACTAGGTGACTTTCAACAATGCCTTAGAATGCAGTGAATGCAGACACTTGAATTGTGGGGCAGAGGAAAGGGAAAATGTTCGCAATGTTTCTGCTAAAGCGAAGCGAAACTATGTTTGGTTGCTGCCCCGTGGTTTCGGCACCTTAGTTGCTGAAGCGAAAGCTGCTTTGGTCGCGAAGCCTTGGTGGCTGAAGCGAAAGTAGGTTTGATTCCTGCAGATGTGCCCAACATGGACATGCCTCAAAAATTGAATGATAAGATTGCTTATCACTTATCATCACTCTTTCCGCTCCTTCCAGTCCCGCCCCACCACCTTCGCATCTGAAACACGGTCTCACACAATCTGACTCAACTATATATACTTGACTTCGGAACTCTTCCCTTCCGCTGCTGTCCTTGACCTTTCGTGCCAATTCCTCCGAAGTCGCCACTCTCCCCAAATTGAAGAACGTCAGCTCCTAGCGCCAATGCTGTGGTGGGCAAAAAAAAATAAGGACAGGAAAACCCCACATGTCAACTTCTTCCAATAATCACTAAGCAGATGTGAAAATGAGATGGGAAAGGCAGGAAAGAGAAAAGGCATGAACCGGAAAGATGGTGGGAAGGAGTAGTAAGTGAAAGAATTGTTGTGTGTCACAAACTTGTGTGTCAAAGAATTACATGTGTGTGAAAGAGTTGTGTGTGACAATGCTGTGTGTGAAGGAGCTGCGTGTGACAGAGCTGTATGTGAAGGTCGATGTCACCAAGCGCCACGC